CAGGCGCGTGCGCCGTGCGGGACCCGCCGGGCCGGGCTGGGCCGGGCCCCTCGGCCTGACCCGTGCCCGCCCCTCGGCCTGAGCCGTCCCCGCCCCTCGGCCTGAGCCGTGCCCGACGCTTGCACCGCTTTAGAATCAGTAATTTAGCCCAGAGAACGTAACGCTTGTTCCGAGCAGCATCACTCGCTGCCCTCGCAGCTTCCACAGTTCACCTGAACAGGCCCTGGGCGCAGATCAACCAGCCATCAAGGCAGCTCAACTGGTGTAACAGGGCGCTGTGAAGGCTCCTTAGAGTCAAACTGAGAGGTAAAGGTATTTGCTTGTAAAGCACAGCGAGCAAAGCACCAAGGCAGCCATAGAAGGAAGCAGGAACCTGTCCCTGCTCAGGTGTCCCAGGTGAGTGGCTGCTTTCTGAGGTGCAATCGGTGCCTCTCCCCAGCAGCTGCTTCAGACATGGTCCACTGCGTTTTAAAATAAGTAAGTACAGGGAATGGTTCTAGAAACGTTGGTAGAGCAGGTAATTTCAGTCACAAAAGCGTGTGGCTGCAGACAAGCAGCTGTGCATGGCAACAGAGAGCCAAGTGCCTTTGCCCTGCTGCTCCCAGCAAGCCTCCATTAATCAACGGGCCTAATCAAAGGCTGCCAGCCCTTATCAAGAACAGCAGCCTACAATAAGTTTGGTAATTTTAGGCCAAACATTTCTTCTATAGTTTGGTTTTTTTTTTCATCTTAAAGCCAAAAAGTATTTGGCACAATTCTCAAAAAGTTCATGTATGTTCCCCTTTCCTTTTAGCACTCCTGTAAAATCTCATGCTTCCTTTCTTCACAGTATTTCTGGGAAGCTATTTTGGCATAAGCTCACACACTTAACATTTCAAAGAAACTGGTTTAGTTCTGGCAGCAATGATTTTTACATTTAAAAATATTAAAGCAGTTAAAACTGGTTTAAGACATTCAAAATACCATATGTATTCTACAGTATAATTCATAATACAATGGTTTGTCACATGCTAATACAGAGCATTATAAGGACAGCAGAGTAGATCTGCAAAACAAAACTCTTTGCTTTGACATTATGAACCCACATACTTTCTATTAACATGAATTTTTACTAGAAACAGTAATTTTTACTAGATTGTTTGAAGATTATAGTTTGTTATTAGCATTTAATACAGTTGAAACCTAAGTAAGCATATCAAATGGATATTTTTATTTGAAAGGAAGGAATGGGGAAAGTATTTAGCTACCACTTTAGATTTAATATTCTGCAACTCAACCAAGAACAGGATTTCAAGTCATCTACCCAGACCCACAGAGTGGGAAACATGAGAACAGCAGACAAAAGAGAGCATCTCAGATACGTATTGCAGACAATGAATGTGGCTTTTTACTGTTTCTAGCCCCAGTAAATTGTTTTGCACCCTGCTTGTTCTGACAACATGCCTTTTCTTGGGTGATGTAATTCAAATCAGAAATTTTTATTTTGGATAAAAGACCCAAGTTGTGATCCAGAGATCACTACTATTCTCATTCTTTAAATGTCTCTTTCACCTTACTCTGTTTCCCACCTATTAGGGAAAGTTAACCTTTTGAATTTTGTTCTGTCTGCATACAGAATCTTCTTCAGGCTCTTACACCACTCTGACTCAAACTGGTATTTTAAACTCCAATACTAAGCTTTTAAAACCCTGAGACTTCTTCATTAAATAAGCTTAAATCCAAATGAAAACATCTGGATTTCAGTTCCCTGAACTATTTCAACAGAAAGAATGGAAACTTCTGAACAATAAACTATCAGACAGTTTGCATTTGGCTTTAGTCAGTTTCTTCACTTTGACCAAATGCACCATGAAGCATTTGATAATTCTGGATTAATGCAATTTGTTTACTGATAGGATTAAGTACTTTTAATACTCCCACAATTCCTAATATTAGCATTTACTTCAGTTGTTGCAACTGAGTAAGATAACTAAGTCTATACTACTGACTCTTTTCATATGGTTACTTATATACCAAAGCCACACAAATCTAATTGGGGTGGGGAAAAACTGCTTCCCCTTTTCGACAAGGGGAAAAGTGACTTAAAATACAACTATACACACCTCTGAAATCTAAGAGGATCTTATTTTCTTTGTATAATTTGCCTAGATTCTGTTTGCCAATTTTCATCAAACCACGTATCAGTGCACAGCAGTTTCACTGCTTCAGCAGCCAGCTTCACAAATAAACACTTCTGTAGCCTGTTGAAAATTTACTGTTTGTATGAGGGGCTTCATATATGTAACTGTGTATTTCTATCTACCATACAAGAAAAAGAATACCAATATTAGCTGATAAAAGCAGGTAATTATATCGCTTCTTCACTACTGCATTATCTTGTTCTAATTTTTAGGAGCGAGAGTGAGGGGGGAAGACAGAGGGTGAGACATGGAACAAGTCACTAGACAGTTTATTCAATAATTTCAGAGTTTGGAGAGATGAAAGAAAAAAAAAAAGAAGATTCCACTTTAATTTACTTCTGTTAGTGTGCTGTATCACTCTCAATTAAATTAGCAATTAGCAACAAGGATTGTATTAGTAGCAAACAACATATATTCACTTAATCATTCTGAAATACATTTGTAAGTCACCATAAAGCATAGTACTGTGAAACACTACATCCTACAGATGTTTCGTAAGTTTAAACCAGTAATTAAGAAGTTAAGAGACCATAAAGAAGAATAGTTTTATAAAATGTGTTTATTTCATAACTTAATTCTATTTTTTTTACATGTTACTAATTAAAGTGTTTTTAAGAATTTTTCAAAGTCCTGTATAGAAGCTTTGGCAATCTCTGTGCAAAACACCTCATCAGGCAAGGATACCAGCTGGTTCAGAGAGATGTAGCTGGGTTGTGCTGGGTCATACTGGGCTCTTCCCAAGAATGTAAGAAACAAATGTCTCTCTTTGATCCGTAATAGCTTTGAGTTGAAAACCTAAGAAAGAAAGGGATGAATCTTTTACATTGTCTAAAGTTTTGACTGATTAAAATTAGAGTATTTTTTAGACAAAC